AAGAGGGTGTACAGCCAAGCATGTCAAACATGCAGCCCGCTGGCCGTGAGTTTGACATGCTAGGTAAGAAGGGGACCACAGTCAGAAGAGTCAGAATAGCCACGAGACCGTCACCCAGCAGGAGTTATCCTAAGTAAAAGGGTGCATGACCTCTACTAGGCATCATTCGATTTAAAGAGCTTTTTGGGTATTGATTTTGGCAAACGCAATTCCTGCCAAATTCAGGAAGATTCTTTTAAGTATAATACAGTCCAAACACCTTATACCTTTTAAGAAGAATTTAGGTGAATAATAAAGAGAAGGGGGAAAAGTCCTCTACTCCTCACCTAAGACATCTCTTTGCTGCCCAAAAATGATAGACTGGATACAGTCACTTAGGAGGTACATACAGTGTTAACTATTGGGAAAACCTAACAATGGACAGTCCCGTCCGACCCCATAGAACACAGTGACAGTCAAGAAAAAGTGTCCTTGGTGGACACTATTCATCCTAACTCACTCCTTTTGCTCAATAAAACTAGTGCTGCAAATACAGCAAAACCTACCTCACTTCATGCTTCCATAAGCAAGGGGAAGGAGGCCCTTCTGGAGGTCACCTGCCTCATCCATCCAAACTTCTAAGAAATGCCAAACAGACACTATAGAGTACAGATATTCCAGATAGTCCAATAGTTCAGAATACAGGAAACCTAAACAAAAGCTGAGGATCCCATAATCAAGTCCCTGTTCCTGGTTTGAGGCCTGGTTGAGAATATCTGGGTTTAAATCCTAATTCTGCTGACTTCAGTACATAAATTACTGCAACTCTGGCAGCAGGTTTCCGTGCTGTAAAGCGGTGGTGTTAACACCTGTCTTGGAGGTGTGCTTTAAAGACATAAACGAGAGGAACATGCACTGAGCTTGGTGAACTCCCCGGCGCCTGGTAAACAGAACAGTCCCAGAAAACTAACCAAATGAGAACAACCTGAGCTAATAATCTGTGCGAGGCCAAATACATCTTAAGTACATGTTTCATCCATTTTCAGCTTGAGCCAAATTCACAAAATTCTTTGGCTGAAAGGGAAACTTCTAGACAAGTAGCTCATAAAATTTAACTCTGTATCAATCAGATGTCCTTGTTGAAATGCAGCTTCTGATTCAGAGGGTTCGGGTGGGGCCTGAGGTTCTGCATTTCTAACGACATTCTCATGATGTGAATGTTGCTGGTCCAAGGACTCCACGTTCAGTGGTGAGGCAGCAGCCTCGGACAGCGATTCTCAAAGCTGGCTGCCCGTGGGATCACCTGGGGAATTTTAAAACATCATGATGCCTGCTTCCCACCTCCCGATACTCCAATGCAGCCTCTTAACCCTGACTGACATTTTAGGCAGATAATTCTTTGCTGTGGGGGTTGCCTGTAGGATCCTTAGCAGCATCCCTGGCTTCTACCACAGTTGAAAACCAACAGGCATACGTTACATGGTTCTCATGTAATTGGCCTGAGGTGGTACCCACATATCAGGATTTTAAAATCTCCCCAGATGAGTCCAATGTGCAGCCAAAATTGAGAACCACTGCCTCCAACTCATCAAGAACATCTTTTTTTCCCACCCCCACCCCCGAATTAAAGAGTCACATTTATTGCAAATCTGGGACTATGGGGGGCATCTCGCTCTCCCAGATCTCATAGTGCACGGACATCTTGATTACTTGCAGAATCCCAAGGTCAGGGTGAAGAAAGGGGAAACGGAAGGGAGCTGCCCTCTGAGACGCCAAAGGAACACCAGCTGTGTGTGCCCCTCTGTGCACGAGAAGTCAGCGCCACTCACGTGATGAAGCACGTGGATCCGGTAGGAGCCCTCGGAGGGCTTGCCGTCGTGCACGATGTTGGCGATCAGGTCATAGGTGGTGTTCTTGTGCACGGCCTGCACTTCCTCAGACAGGTACTCTCTCAGATCCACATTCCTGGCAACGGTGAAAATAAAGCCAGAACATCAGACAAAGGCTACCAGGTTAGAGAAACTGTCTTACACAAATGAACCACAAAGCTACTGTAGCCTATCTTAGGACCTCGGATCTAGGTAAGCTTGCAGACCCAAAGAAGTCCAGGTTTGTGGAAATTCACATAATCTGCCATTAAAATGAGTCAAACTAGAAAGACTGGCTCTATGGGAAAAGCAGATTTTAAAAGCCTCTCTAGCAGTCAACAGTACAGTGTAGGCCTGGAGTCAATCAGACTTGAACTAGAATCAGGGCTCTGCCACTTCTGAACTATGTGTGAGCTTAAGCAGGTTACAGAACGTAAGGCTCTTCTACGATGAGAATGCGTCACCATCTCTGAGACGGTGAGGATTGAGACGACAGGCCTGACCGCCTCAGCCTCTGCCTGGCCTGGGCATCAGCTGCAGCTGCGGTGTTCAGACAGCACCCGGCTCGGCCGCAGGCTGTGGAAGACCCAACCACAGGATTATGTGGGTGGCCACTGCACACAATCATGGTTAACAACTTCAATAAGGCAAACCAAGCACTGATTTATTTTTTTCTTTGATTTTCTGGAACCTTGCTTTTTTTAAATGTTGTTGTTTTTTTATTGATTTCAGAGAGGCAGGGAGAGGGAGAAACAGATAGAAACATCAATGATGAGAGAGAATCATTGATTGGCCGCCTCCTGTACACCCTCTTTTGGGGATCGAGCCTGCAACCCAGGCATG